TAGGTTACGTCTAACGTACACTGAGGAGCTGAAGCCATGGCGAATGCTAGTGGAATTTTGAATTCAGTGTTGATGATGACATGTAAACACTAGGTGAGCAAATTCACGGTCGATAAGCCCTCTTCATAAAAAATAACACACTGTCGCCTGAATTCTACTGGATAGCCTGAGTCTACAAAGTTCCGCTGATATCCTTTGTATTCTCACAGTCCAAACTGACATTCAAAAGCGAAATTGAATAAACAGCTCCTGATTAGTTTTTTTATTTTGTATGCTGATGCACAGTTGACTCCTCTTTATAACAAATCATACTAAGGAATTAAACCAAACATGTGACAAAAATTAGATGAAAAGAAGGATACACCCATATTGATCGGTAGAATGGTTCACAGTACAACACACTGACTTTTCCTGGCATTTTTAAAAGTAGACTGTTCACATGAGTTACGTAACTACCCGACTGACCAGTTTTCTACTGTTTTCTGTACCTCTTAAAAGCAGTGTTTCGTAAAAAGTCATCATCGGAGGCGGAGGGGGAATAAAATTTGAAAGTAATTAAATAAATATATGTAGCACTACAAAGAACTGAGCAAATATTCCTCTGTTAGTCACCAAGATCAATATAAATCTTAAGCAGTTCAACTTTGTGGAGGTTTTGATGGAAGACAAAGTCTAATGAAAACTATGCTTTAATTACAAGGAGGCAGTTCATCTTGGACACAATGAACGACTTCTTATTGATATACTGTACAATGGTAAATGCAGTCGAGTGGGATTCATCCGTAAAAGATGTTAACTAATTAAAACTGAGTAACAGCATCCTTACATTTCAGAACACTCAACAATAGCAGGAATTATAGAACAAGTGCTCGTATCACTTCTTACCCTGTTCAATGAGATGGAATGATTATAATTACACGAAAAAGTAAGTCATAGGATGAAGATGGTTACCAAGTTTTCAAGCGGTATTTATGACTTAAATTTACTCAAGACTATTCACCTAATCTTAGTGTCTGTAAACTGAGATAAAATTATTATTATCATTTGAATAGTAAACGAATAAACTAAGCTGTACCTTATTTAAAAGAATATCCACTAGACTTGGCTAAACTTCACACGTTTTGGCTGACTAAACTGAAGCGACTTATGAAAACACTAGTCAATCCTATCAGCTGTACACATAATATTGAGTATAATGTGATTAATGTTCATATCATCAAACGCGAAAGTACAAAATTCAAAAGTACTAAAATCATATCAGTGTTAGCAGTGTGAGCCGCCACTTTGTAATCAGTGACAGCAATCATCGTTCATTTATGAAAACGATAGTGATGACTGCAACCTATTATTCGGTGGTTGTCTCAATTTAATCTAACGTATACTTAGCTAGTTTGGTATATTCACAATTAAAACACATGTAGTCTTAAAAAGAGCCAGAGGTAGACTGTGATGTCTAGCTGTAATATATTTTTCTTCAGCTTTTAGTGATGCAGACTTGAATCTTTAGAGAGGATATAGGTTTTCCAGTGATTACATCTGCATATTCCATATGAATGTTTATAAGCATGAAATAAAAGTCCAGTATTTTCTGCTAATTAAAGTTTCCTAACCAGAACCGGACTATTCCAAGCTTTATGGAAGTCTCATGGAATATTCTTTTAGGCAGCTTATGTTGGTTCGAAAAAGCCACTAAATACAGTTATATGAAGCCTTGAAAAGAATAAGATTGAATAATTGTTGAAAAGCATGGAAAGCGTTCATTTCCCATGAGTATTCTTACAGGATTATAATTCCACACTGCTGAAGCTTGATATTCTAAGACTACAACTGCAAACAGATAAGTAGCAACCATAGATCTGAGTTCACTTGGTATGCTGCAACCATAGTTCAGTAAGCTAGATTATTTTTCCGCGAACATTTATCCTAGGTCCAAGATGTAAACAACAAGAAGAACTAATGAGTTTAGTAGTTTTGAACTGTTTTAACTAGTAATGTATCAGGGTGTGTATATTCTTAAGATGTAAATTACCTCATTGGTAAGTTGGTAAACTTGCTTTCTAGTGTTTAGATTCCTAGAGTCAAGTTTCAGACTGCAATCATCAACGTCATAGCTTGTGAATCACTGATTAGACTGAATTGATCGGCCACTATTGATATTTGGGCCCCTTTATGCATGCCTCGATACCCGGTATTTTCAAATTTGATAGTAATGACGAATAGTGGTTAGCAGTGGAATCCAGGCGACGCGTTTTCGTTTTAGTGGAAATAAGATCACTCACTGAGAAACAGGTACATCCAGCTGAAGAACCACGTGTTATGGATTCCAGTGCTGGCCGTTACCCATCAATGAGACTGCAATAAGTCAACAGGAGTGGTACCTGTCTATTCAAAAGTCTATACTAGTTGAAACAAACTTGTATATAGCTGGAACCATTGGTGATCAAATAATACATGTTCTGCAGAATTGAATAATTTCATTAGCTGAATAACTTTCAAAATGACACAAAGTTGTACATTGAATAATTGATAACTGAAAGAAGAGAAAAGTTTGTAAACGCTGACTGACTGGGATTTTCAGGTATTATTTATCATGAAATAAGACTAACTGACATGCTTTACAGTTGGGGAAAACGCAAATCCTGATTTTAGTTCATATTGATCTGTTCCGCAGAATTCAGTGGTTGGCGTAAGCCAAAGGGCAAGTGAACAGATTGACATAGTTGGGAATAACTAAATCGCTCATGTATTTCCTTAGTACCGTTTACTGTGAAATGAGAACGGTTGGAGAACTACTGAAAACCTAGAAGTACTCAACCGCAAATAGTCCTTGTCTAGAACATTTCTGCAGTACACAAACTCGTTAGAGATTCAATTAGAAAAAGAACTCCAGAAGTCTTAATGAGAAGGGATCACATGTAGTTTCGATCAAGTCAGGCTTGAGGACAAATGCTCAATCCATGGCAGTGGATGCTTACTGAAGGATACTACGAAGCGACAGAAGGTGAAAGACTCTGAACCAACTAGGCAGCTGAATGATAATGGAGCAGCTGTAAAAAATGAATTTCCTGGTTAAGATCCTTCAAAAAGTCAGAGGTGTGCACTCCTGAGGGTTCTCAAGGCTCTGAGGGTTGTGATGGTTCTCTAACTGTTTACAATCAATAAGAAAAACTACTTTGGAGTAAATCAAGCGGTATGTTCAAAGACTATCAACTGAAACGTTTAGTTATATTTATATACCTATCTAACCTTACTGAAATGAAGAGTTAAATAAGATTTCAGGTTGGTTTTCATCATGGACGGACATGAGTTGGAGAAACATCGGAAACATGGAAGCACTAGACAGCTATTTCTTCCTAGCATATGAAACCAGGGGTGCCAACCAAGTCGAACATGTGGACAGGTACTCAACAACGACACCGGATGGAGTTGAAGCTATATCATGAACTGACAGAAGTTCGAAATGCAGAACACTGGGTTCTGACCAAGTGGTTCAGTGGTTACGTGCTAGTCACGGGATCTGAAGGTCCTGGGCTCGATCCCTGGTGGGGCCATGGGTGTACACTAGTGATGGGTTCTGTACTAGGACGGGACGGTTGTCTAGTGCCCCCACGTTTCTAATGCTTCTCAGACTAACATCAGTTTATGACTAATACCAATCTGTAATCACTAAAATTCCCACAATCCAGCAAATAAATAGAATTTGTGTGACATTAAAAATGGAGGACTTTTCTAATCTATTCAAACCGTAAGTAATGCCGTTACTGAAAACATCAAATACTAATCACATAACCTCATTGTTACAACACACGTGAATAAAGAGAAGAGAAAATAATTGGACTTTGTTTTGACAAACTTTATTTCTAAAAATATGGTGAAGCAGATACTAAACTAATTCGTTATCTGTGTCAGACTATTTACGAAAATATGTTTGAAGATTGCGAATTTTTGAAAAAAGACTCGTTGTTTTCAACTGCGCAGAGTGAAAAATGTATCACTATGATCACAACTTTTTTAAAAGAAACTACTTTGTATACCTGGAGCTTATTAAAGCTTAAAATAGAAAACTGCATTGTATAAGCCGCTGTTCTAATATTTGTGTTGCAGTAAAAGGATTCGAAAGGTTTTGTCTCCGATAAGTGTTACATGAGCAGTTAGCTGATGTAATTAGGATAGGTATGCACCATATCCTACTTGTCCCTTTGTCATTTACTGTCAGCATTTCTTGTGATAGAAGATAGAACATTTATCTTCATGAAGAAATCTCCGTTGTTGACATGCCTTTTAGTAGTACATCTCATCAAATAGGTCAATGGTGTAATTTCCTCTTTGAATTATGACAGTCAATTCAAATGTATGAAAGTAATAACATGATGAAATCTGCATGTCTGTCATATCGAAGGCCTAAATTGCGAATACCTCAAATTATCAGAGCAACGGATTGATTGAACTTGAAAGCTCAATATGGTGAAAAATTCAACTCCCATATCCACTACCACTGGTCACTAAACACCAAGGTGGACTTGCTGAACATCCCATCAATGCAGAAACGGAAAGAAGTTCTTTGAAATGTAGTGAAATATTAGAATAAACGAGGATGAATACGCTAGTCAAACAAGAGAGAGGAAGAGAAAATGCGGGAAAGCAATAAAATGATCAAACTCTCTAAAAGCTTGAAAGTAGATGCATTCGCATTATTTTGATGGATCTCCAACCAGACAGAAGGATCTGTTTACACATGGTCCTAAAACTATTCTTTATTTTTGGTTAAATCATACAAAAAGAATAGTCGTATGAATTCATTTTTGTTAGATCTGGTCGGAATTAAACCTTTACTTACCTCGCCGAATGCAGCATACTCCATTATGAGCCATATTGGTTCATCTGAGCATACACCCAATAATTTTATGATATGTGGATGGTCAAATTCACCGAGTATATCTAATTAGGATACACAAAACAACAAAACAAGGATATCTGTGAGAATAAAGCGATCATTTGAAAAGTGTTGCCAAACAAAATACTTAATGAATGCAGTAATAATAATACCTATTCTTAGTTCCTCTTTCCATACCACATACATTTGACGGACAATCAAAGCAGTGAACTCAAGAAACTTTTCTAAACTTGTTATTACTGATACTTAGACGAACAAAAAATCTTATTCTCTTGTTTAGTTATTTGTTAATAAAGCATTACCCAGCAAAATTCATTATACTTGCAACCAAGGTAATATTCAATCTTAGCTTTTATTTCAGAAAATGATCTTAAATACTTTCTTATAACAAGTGGGATTAGTTAGCAGGGTAAACTTTTGAAAGCGCATAAAATAACTGGTAACTGCCTTTCTTACCGGTACATGCAATTAGTTCCTGTCATAAATTTTTGAAAAGCAACAACAGCAAACATTGTGGAATGAATCGTGTGCTCTAAATCTTCCACATACCCACTTAATTTAAAATTGTGCTATCTGAGTCTAGCATAAGTCAATTGATACATCCCAATAGGAAAATCAAAACCAAGTACATTTTTCACATCTAAACATCAATACATAAAATATATATATAGGGTAACAGAGATAAATGACAAAGTTCATGACCTAATCAATAAATACAGGGAACAAGTAATAACAAATCACACTATAAAATCGATCAGGAAACACAAGAAAACAACGCGACAATAGTAGTGTAGAAATATGCTTACAGCTAGAGTAGGTAGGAATTTTGATAAAAGGGGAGAACAACAAAGATGATGTGCAAAGTATGTGAATTAGTGGTAGTAGAATCTACTAAAAACCATAGTTAAGGTATAATGGATTAGGTTTCATCGAAAAAGTTGAGAATACGAACAATATTTGAGAATGATATGAACGAATAAAGTCGTAAATAAACCTTTTGGAAAAAGAACAACTCACTCAAGTAATGCAGGGTGAACTATCAACTCATTTTGTACACATAAGTTTGGTTTCAGCTGACGGATTACTGCTGCTTCGGTATCACCTACCAATCTACTATACCTTCGTCAATTGATTACCTTGAAATTAGTTTCAAATCAACTGTATGACATGTATCCAGGATGTGTTTACCAGTGTCTCTGACAGATAACTTTCCACGTCTCAGTGACAAACCTTTTGGCACATGCTTAGAGATTATTTAAGTAAGGACCTTCTCACTTCTTCCGAAAAACATGCTACTGCAACAGCAAGTACAAGTCAATAAATGGATATCATTAAAGGTAACATATGAAGGTCTCGCCATTTCACTCTCTTCTCTACAGTCTTTCCAACTTGGCTCCACCACTGCCCACAAGCTCTCATTTCTTCCTCACACCATCTCCTCCATGTCACCCTCAGCTGAGACGTAAAACTCGTTGTTTCCCCTTTGGATTCCACTCAACAACTTGGCCTGGTGCATGATATCTCCGAATAGTTTTCTCAGTCCATGCTCAATCTATCCCCACTTTCTTCTGCATATCCATTGGGCAACGGGTTCATAGTTGGTTCGTTCCCAGAGTTACTTGTTACTTATTCTTAGCATTTTGGCCATCTGATATTTAGTATCGAGTGGCTGCAGGTGGCAACTGTTGATGAATGTCTGTAGTTTGTTGGAAACGCGTTCCGTAACGTGCCACGTTTCTGCACCACATAGAACCACCGACTTGACATTAATGTTCGAAATCCGGAACTCGTTCACGCTTTATGCTGAGTGCTGTGCACACTGATTTCAGATTAATGAAGGTCTGTCCCACTGTCTTTCCGATCCTGACTGGCTTTCACGTTCTCATCTGTGCCACTACCACCACCTGTAGTTGAAATGATGCTGCCTAGGCAGATAGGTGAAACAGGCTACTTCCTTCACATTCCTCCTGTTGATGGTGATTGATGCTTCTTGTTGTTGTTGTTGTTGCTGCTGTTGATGTTGTTGTCATTGGTTGGGTATATTCATCACCTCTGTCTTCTCTACATTCACCTGAAGCAAGTCCCATCTTCACTGCCTCACCTCACCTCAACTCACCTCGCCTCGCCTCGCCACTTCTGCCGACTCGTCAGTTTTTGCCTGTGGATCTTCGAGTTTGTGTGGCAAGACATTTGACATAAATCATTATCGACAGCGAAATCCGAATCTTCTTCTGGCGTTTTTCCATCGGTCCAGCCAGCCCATGCCCATCTCCTCACAGCTCCTCACACCTGTCTGTTACATGATCCTCTTCAGTCTAGTCGATCACAATCTCGAAGATTATCGGTGATAGTAGGCAACTTTGTCTCACTCCTGTCTTCACTTCAAAGGCGTCAGTGAGCTTTCCACTGTGAATCACTTGTCATGTGGTATCATCATGTAGCTGTGTAATGAGGTTGATAGAGGTTAGTGGGACTAAATCGTAGTGTTGAAGCAGCTGCCTGCCAAATTACTTCTCGATCGAGGCTGTCGAAGGCCTTTTCAAAGTCGATGAAGTTGATGTTGAGTTGAGTAGATTGTCATTGTATACTGTGTTCAATGATGATGCGTAGCGTAGAGTTGTGAATTGATTTGTACATGGTTTTTTCTTCCTTAAGTCAGTGAGTCAGTCAGTCAGTCAGTCAGTCAGTGAGTCAGTCAGTCAGTGAGTCAGTCAGTGAGTCAGTCAGTCAGCCAGTCTGTTCCGGTCATAGATTTGATTCCAGCACATTGTTTAGTCTCTGCACTATGATTCGGCATAATATTTTGTCTGGGGTGGACAGAAGTGAAGCATGATTCCGTGCCAGTTCTTGCGAAGACCTAGGTTGCCCTCCTTATGGAGTTTGACAAGGTAACCCTTCTCCCAATTATCAGCAGGTACTCTGACTGTCCTCCTTCTAAACCTTCTACGTCTGTTTCCACTGCTTCTGGTGGAATTCCATCTGGTCATGCTGCTCCCCCAGATTTCAGCAACTTTATGCCGTTCAGGACTTCGGCTTCCGTCATGGTGATTGTGTTCACTGGTACTTCTGTGACTATGCTGCTGATGATATTCCTAGACGAGTTGCAGGTGGCGATGTTAGTGGTTGATTCAAGAGTTTTATGGAGTGGTCAGCTCATCGTTTTCTTTGTTTCTCCTCTTCGGTAACTAGGTTTCCTTCACTATCTTTCATTGGTTTCATCTGCGTTGATCTCTCCCCTCCCAGATAGTAACCTGGTTATTTGATATATTGTTGTCAGGTCTCTGTCTCTCCTACCAGCAGCCTCTTCTGCTTCACTTGCCACTGTGTCGTAGAAGTGTTTTTTGTCCCTCCACGCACTCCTCTTCACTTCTATGTCCAGTGTAGTGCTTTATGGGTTGTGTTCACTTCCTCTTCTCGTTGTTCATTACTGCACTGCACTGCACTGCACTGCATTGCACTTGTTCATCTCCTGATTCACCATCTTACTCTCCCTACTCTATCAGCTTCCATGTGTCCGTCAAGATCCATTCCTTCTCTCCCTTCTTCTTCTTCTTCTTCCTCCCTCTTTACATGGTTATGCAGGTTTCCTTCCACGTCTCTTTCAAAGAGTTCCAGTGTTCTTCCACACAGGTCTCCTCGCGGATGTTGCTCAATGTCTCCCATTTTTTCCTGATGGTTGACGCGATGTCCTCTGTAGTTTCATCCTTCAGTTTCTGTTCTGTGATCTGAACTCGCACTGTGGTTTGTCACCAACTTCTGTGAAGGCTTTCAGCCTGATTTGTAGGTAGATTCCTTGCACTAGAGAGATATTGAGTGGTGTTAACCTACATCTGCTCCTGCTCCTCTTCTTGATCTTGTTTCCAGTGGGCTGCATCTACACTTTCTTCACATTGAAATGAAGTCGATCTGATTTTCAGTGTAGTGTGTCCTGGTGTCTGGTGAAATCCACGTCTATCTCTGCCTTGTGAATATCCTTCTGTTTGTGCACACTGTATCGCTTCCAATCACCAAATCATTAAATGCGCAAACGTCTGCAAGCAGTTAGTTCTCCATCCTCATTCATCATTTCACCAAGTGCTTCTCGACCTATGATGAATTCTCTTCCTGTGTTGCCTACTCCCAGTTTGGTATTCATATCACCCATTAGAATAAATTTTGATGTCACAATCTCGGTTGGGGTCTTGTTCATTACTGATTGCAGTTGTCTGTAGAATTCCTCCTTCCTCTCTTCATCTGCATTATTTGTAGGTGCATAGCATAGCACTGTATGATTGTGAATTTCCTCCCTTTTCAGTTGAATCTTGCTGTCATGACCTGATCCTGCAGGAGGAGATTGGCTCCCACCACATGAGAGCATACGATGCTCTTGAGGACATCAGGATAGCCACTCCAGAACTCAGTGTTCTTGTATTTGTCGTCTGTGTGACGATATCAAAGTAGATTATCGACTCTCCAGTTGGCAGTTTGAGAGTCCACTTCCATTCAATCTGCCCTCTCAGATTCCAAGCACTTCTATGTCATACCTTCTCATCTCTTTTGCAATCTGTGGAGCTTTACCAGCCAGCTTCAAACATGGTGTGGACATTCCACTTCCCTATGTTTACTTTCGCTTTTATTGAGAGAAGGAACATCGGCCGACTGGCTTCTTGATGGCTTCCACCAACCAGGCCATTTCTTTTCCTCAATTCTAACGAGGAATAAGTTTATTCTTATTTTTATATTTTTTGTGCTTTGAAGTTTCTTTGGTGGTTGGATTGGTTTTACGGAGTAGGGTTGCTAGCCGTATGCCTAACCTTCTTTCTTTGTTCGGGTTTAGGACTGGCTAGTATTTAGAGAGCTAGTTAACCAGTCAAGGTTTGTGTATGAAACCCAGTTGATCCCGTCTGATTGAAATACGGGCTGAAATGACCTGTGATTTCACTTGTATTTTCTAGAAAGTGAATTTTTATAATTTACTACAGTTTATTTTGTTTTGTCAGACTACAGTAATTCGTAATGGGTTATTCTGTCTTCTGATAACCACTTTAATCATAAAGTTGAGGAACTGCCTGGTTTTCCTAAGTATCGGGAGCAGATGCACCACGTGACACTGCATTTTCTGTGGCTTAGTAGTAAGTATGTATATATAAACAATGCAGACAGCCAGGATTACGTTTATCGATGTATGATAAAAGCATGTATATTGTTCTGGTCTTCCAGTTAAACTCAAAATGAAAACATATGAGTCAAAATACATTAAAATTTATGAACTGCTTATTCAAACAATAGTGGTATGACCTATCGACAGCTCCTGGAAGAAAAGGCGAATTCTACTGCTATCTCTTACGTTATCCGAACGTTTTGAAAAAAACTGGACTGTATCTTCAGTTTGCGATGCAGAGCGACTATCCACCGAGTTCTTCACATCGTATCTGTTTCACCTCTGACTGGTTCATCGCAGAGGTCGTGACTTTTCATTACAATTTCGAGACGCTCATCTGTTGCCATGAAACCTGGAGGTCTTGAGTTCAACCTCTGGCGGAATTACGTGTGTGAACTGCTGAGGAGTTCCATACTGGGACGGAACACTGGCCCAGTGCTTTAAGATTTTCAATGATTCTCCAATCGGTGTCAGTCAATAATGAATACTACCTTGAGTAGGATTTCTCTGTTAAAATTATCTTTGATACTACATGAATGAATTTGTTGTTAGCCATTACTTCAGTGATAGCAGTAGAAGGATAAAAAGTCCAATAGTAAGTGATAAACTTTTTACTATTTCATATCGGTGATATTCGAGCAGCCAACGAAAAAGAGAGTTAGGAAGATTGTCTAGCTGTCTTAACATTCGTTAAGTAAATAAACTATAAATGAGTAGAGATAAGAAGAACAACCCTAAAAATAAAGGTTTTCCAAGCTCACTCTAAGTTGATGATAATAATGTTGCCTTTCTATTGGAATTCAGTGTTTTTCTGTCGCTGACAAACAGAAGGCTTTAAAGCAGTTTTTTAATTCGAAGCTCATCAATATGTTCGAATGCCTACGATATAATTTTATTTCACAAAAATGAATGCAGATTCATGATGCAGTATCCCGATTGCTTTTTTTAAGACATAAGCTAATTTCGAATACGATTCACGGCCGAAAAGTCTTGTGATGTTTCAGAAACCTGTAAACCCGTACGACAAACTAGGATCGACGGTATGGTCATACTGACTTTCATATTTTCAAGTTACTTTCCAGTTTCTTCTTTTGAATATTGCGAGAAGTGAATCAACAGAGAATTAGTTATGCCGAACACTTTGTCCCTTTAAAGCTCATACCTTTAGATACCTCATTCACCATCACTATAATACATTTTTCACCACTTTTACTGAGTTAAGACTAAAACATAGTGCAGACTGCGTGAAGTTCTCCGCAAAAAAACTATCCTTGTAAGCTAGGATAACATCGAGGAAATATATCATTTGAGAACAAGGGATTGAAATGCTAAGAATGCATTTTGCAAATAAATGTAGATGATGAGGAAATTTGGTGAAGCATCTAAGTTGAAATGTAGTACAACTTTCATTGACTATGACACAAAGCCCCTTGAAACTACAATCATCATCTGTATATATTTGATCTAGTATACTAAATTAAACGGTGCCAGATGGTTAAGTCAGAAATCAGTTAGCTAGTTTAGAGACAGTAGTTTGTAATATCCATTATCTGCGATGCGCTTTGAAATGCCCCATCTGCAACTGAGCAGTTTGAACAAAGAGACCGCAGTTAAGCAGACAATGAAGTGATATACCTGTGGATTTCTCGAAATCCATACGAATTTAGTGACTTACCATCCTCTGAAATTATTACAATTTTCTATAGAGGGAATGTTAATTGAACTTAATGTTGCAACTTCTAGTATAGTAAATTGTTAATACTTCCTAAGTAGAATTACTGGTGTAATGTGGCATGCAGTGAGTTTGCATAATTCATCACATAGTGACCTGAGCATGCTTCTCTTTACATTGTCATATCATAGTAATATGGCATATAGGTGACTCTATCTTTAAACAGGAAACCCTTACTAAAAGTTGGAAAACCTATATTTGAAGGTAAGTTTACTCGATATGCAGGATTTTAGATGATTTGACCCCAACTTTGAATGTGGGACACCTCATTAAGTACTACAAAACCTGCATAAATTTCTCATCATTGTGTAATCCAGGATCTCAGTTCCATCCTAGCCGGGTGGTGGGTGTGTACCGCTGAGAAGCCTTTCAGTGCTCCAAGGTTTTCAATGGTTCTCCTGCTGATGTCAGTCCATGATGAATGGTACCTTAAACATAAACTCCCTACTAACCTCAAAACACACTACTCCACAGATGAATATCTTGAAGTTCTAACGAGAAACCATGATCCATTGAGTCAACCAGTTGGGAGTGAAGGGGATACCAACTGAAGACTTTGAGTGACAGGTGAGCTACATCGCGAATTGACAGAAGTAGGAAACTGTAAACCCTTGAACTCTGACCTAATGTCTTAACAGTCAACGCGTTTGCCGTGAAACCTAAATGTCCTGAGTTTGATCTGTAGCACTTTCGTGATTGAGTACTTGTGTGGAGTCCCATACTGTGACGAAAAAGCTTTCCGATGTTCCAAGGTTTTCACTGCTTCTTCAACTGATGTCAGTCTGTGATGGATACCATCTTAAAAGTGACTCAGTAATTTCTCAAGCACATAGCAGATTATTCAAGTGTTATCAATGTGGTACAAAATATATATAAAACAAAACAGATGCTAACTTTCCCATATTGGTACATTTGTAATTATTCAAATAACTTACAAGCTTCTTCTAAGAATCGTCTTCGTTCTTCAAATGATGCATCCAGCTTACATGTTTTTACCGCAACCAGTAAAGGATCGAAATTAGTCTACAGAGGAATCAGAAAATGACTTTTTTAAAATTCTTTTGTTTTCCATCGAATGCAAAACACTGCATATTATCTAAGGGGCATATTTTTGGCTCTTAACATTTTTTACACCTTACTGGCCTATATATGGATGACGTTTTGAAATCAACTTCGAAGGCATAGCTACGCCAAACAACTGGAATCTCAATCAAACTACATTCAAAAATAATCAATCTTTTTACGAAGGAAGGGGAGGGAAACAAGACATTTGTGTGAACGACCAATTGCAGGTGGCGGAAAATTCAGTGCTTAATTTCAGTACCAAAAAACAAAATATACTTCACGAATGGATTGAATGATGCCACTTTATACCACAATGAGCACAGATATCAGACTTTTATTAATGTGAAGTTCAAAGAGTTGAGGTCTTAACTATATTTGTCTACTTCTGATGTGCACAAAGCATACGTAAGAAAGTATATCTTCACGTCTACTAGTCACTACTCCTAGAGGTTTTTATTACCAGTTGATTGACAGTGGTAAATCTCTAGCATTAACAAGTCTAAATGAAGTGAGAATACAACTGACTGATTCCAAAAATAGAGATATGTTCAAAAATTGAAACCATTACCATCATTGTATATGATCAATTAAACAGTGTTTTTGAAAGGATTTGTCTCAAAGAATATGTTAGTCGGCTCAAATATATTCCAACTACTAGTATCAGCCTCTCCAGTCTAAACTTTGACTGCTGCATACATCAAGATAAAAACATTGAGCTAGTCTATTTTGAGTTTACATTAAACAAGATTTTTTTCTAGGCTCACTTAGGTGTGTTGAATGGAGTTTAGACTCATATACTAGCTTGTCATGAAGGATGACATTAAGTAAAAAGCATCACAGATGTGTTCTAGGTTGTTCACATATTCGACAGTATGAAAAAGCTTGAATTGTTTGACACCATGCGTTGAAAAAAAGTTATAAAAATTATAATCTATGATAAACATTCCTTACTTTTCTACGATAAGACCCCTTATACACATCTCCGAATTGCCCTTCACCAAGTACTTGTTCAAGCGTTACCAAGCTCCTTTTTATCTCGAATCCTTAGTACAAAAAATGTGGAAGATGAAAGGTTAAATAGTGTCGGCTGGTATCAAATGATATAACTAGCAGAATAACATAGAAACAAGCGTGATAAAAACTGCTGCGCATTCTGAAAATCTTTCAATCAAGTCTTCTATGACAAACTTACATCAAGAGGAGGAAATACAAGGATGAAGAAGTAGAGGAGAGCCGCTTCTCATTAGTTTTTGGCTATACTGATGTGAACTAACGCCCTTTCACAGGCTGCTGACTTTAGGATATTACGATCTAGTGTCAAGTAGAAAGTTAAAATGATTGCTGCTGAATGAGTAATGATCGTCTTAGACAGCTTAGTAACAGAATTTATGAAAGCGAACTTCTCGTCGTTTACTCCATATGGCCTTAATATCTTGAACACCATCTATTACTTTAGTTGAGGATGTGTATTCACAATGAAGAAAAATGGACACACTCACCTGACTTTTGGTGTAAACGGGTTACAAATATTGTCTAGGAAGGTGGAATAACTGTGCATATACGAGAAAGACCTACCAACAAATTATTCAAGCACTTGATCATAATTTGCTCAACAATAATATGGGCTGGTCGAGTGGTGAATGCTGCTTATAAGCAATGGATATAAGTAGTATATGACGCAACATCGGAAAACACAAGAATTGACAATGATAGGCAAGTGAAGATTCGCAGTGGGAAAAGACACCATAACATAATACAGAACATCACATACTGGAACAATGAAAAAATTGTTTGCTAATGTGACTTAAATGTATTGTTTCATATTTTACCACGGTTGATTTTAATTTTACAATAAACAGTCGCTGTTATTTGTGAAGATAGATTTATTCTCCTTAAGCAGGCCACTCCATGTTATTGAAGATGAATGGAGTTAAAATGAAAACGGTTGACTACTGATATCATAACTTCTGTTATTTTAATAAATCACAGTTGATTAAACTGAGCATGAACTGGTCATTAGTTGACTATCTATGTAGTTGTCTTGTCCTTAGGGTTTAGCACTCAATGACCGAAGTCTATAAAAGACTCATGAAATTCATTCGTGCTAAGTATGTAAAAACCTACAAACCAATTCAATTAAATGCATAAGGTACGCATAAGAAACTAGTCGGGCAAGCTTTTCGCTGCCTATACTAAAAAAGTACCCCTTTGGTGTATCCCATCGTATTCACTTGCGAAATCTTTCACACGAAGCGAGTTGCTAGGTTTTGTTTAACTGACGTTCAGGGTCTTCATCAATGAATACGAAGTCCAACTGAGTTTGGAGGTTTCTAGAGCCTTATTTACTGATTTCAAGTTGGTATTCATCATGGACTGACGTCAGTTGGTGAAACTTTGAAAACCCGGTTGCATATTCTTTCTGCAAGAAGAATATTACATTCGACTGGAAATAATGTACGCTAACTGACACCAGTATGTCTTTGGTTAGCATCTGTGTAAAGATCCAGTTGCATTTTCCTGACTTATGTTATAGTGGTAAAGTTTATCAACATAGCGAACACACGTTTACGATAAAAATGTATACTGTTTTCCACCAAGCACCTATATCATACGTCTAAGCTGCCAAGTTCATATTCTGCACTCAGTGTTTAGTTACATTGTATCAGCACGAATGGAATGGTTGCTGATGAAAGCTCAGCTCGGATACAGGAAGCCCCTTTGGCAGTTGCGAACATGCGTCACCTACAGAGCCGACCGGTGAGATATCCGACTGCCTATCAAAGGACGAGTATACTGCGCTCTGGTCCGTTCTGTCTTATACGACTGTGAGACATAGCCGTTAAAAGTAGAAGGCATAAAGCGATTACAGGGTTTTGATGACAAGTGTCTTGGTAGTATTGCACGTGTTTGGTGGAATCACTGTGTGAGCAGTGTTGAGGTCAGGTGAAGGTTACTAGGCAAGATAGGCAGGCCGACTGATGACTTAGTGAACCATAGTTGACTGAGATGGCTTGGAAATGTACTACGGATGCTGTGCGAGCCAACGTCTACCTCATCGTGACAAACTTGAAGAAGTTGGGTTAGGCTGTGAGAAAGTTCAGGGTGGCCAGATCAAGACGTGTCAGCGGTCGATGAAGTACCTGACTGTCGGTTTGAGCCACGTAGGGAGATGTAGACGACGTATCTGGTATCCTCTGGATGATAGGAATCGGTGGTTGATAACCTTTTGAGACATGACTGAAAACCGGTCACAGAGACACAGATGTATTCAATCCTTGACATCTAAAGCTTGGATATTTGCACTATATTGTTTATCATCTCACACAACATTTTCTGTTTTGACATCATTCTTATTCTAGCCATGCGGTACTTATATACTTCTTCGAAGTGCGACAACTTGACCTGATGCACCTGTGTGTGATGTTCTTCGTTTATTTTGTCAGTTAGTCCATTATTTTGATGTCTGTTCTCACCTTCTAAGACAAATAACAAAACAAGATTTTAATTGAAACACCACTGCAGTGTTTATAATTCACTGGGAAATCCAAATACAGAAATAGTGAACATCATTCAATGAACCTGCGGACATTTGATTTCTCTAGGTTATTTTTTTTTGGGTACTTACGTTATACAGGATGCATCAGTGATAATCAGGGCTGAATGATGGTTATGGCAAAGACAAAGTTTGAATGTACCTTTTTGTACACAGCGCTAAATATGCATTTTCAGCTAAGTAAGAGAACATCTTGGAAAATTAGATCACTCAACTCCTTTTGAGAACTCATTCAAAATCCTCTACACGGTTCGATAAAATTACACAAAGTTAAGGCATTTGGGTATGGCTGAAGCAGTAACTGTTTATAAGTCTAAACTATCTCTAAGTGTCCAAAAGGGGTACTTTCAACCTTTGTATTTTCTTGATTTATTGAAATAATTTTTAAATCAGGTCGTGGTATACATTAGAGGGCAAAATAATGACTTTGACCGGTCACCACAGTTGATCGGTAAAATATCACGGGACAACAATTCCGTCTTAGGTAGCGCTTACACAAGTCAAGGCAGATTTTATAATACTAACTGATTTATTAGACTATTCCCTAGAATTAATGTTGATAACCTGCATAACTTTCTTTTACCTAGTGTTAAGTGACCACAGAGGCGGGAGGGGTGGACGGTTATCGAGATTTCACACATATGTCAGTAAGATTTGTCAAAAAATGTCTGAAAGATTGATGCGACACTTACTTCCTTGTAATATCAGCCCGGTGTTTGTGCAACTGCAGACTTTAGTAATACACCTGTTTGTAGCATACAGAATACCAAAAGGTAAGCCACTATTGACTGTGCAGTAACCGATTGGTTAGATAACTTGTGTATAACTCTAATCTTCTGACACCTGAGTGGAATGTTTGTTGACAAAACAAACACACCACCTTCCAAAAACTAATATCTGTATGCATAAATGATGCATAAATTTAGCTACTTATTAAATAAGTCATACATATTTCACTAAGTCTAATTACTAATATGATTTACACAGGTGTGTAAATCAATAAATAGATGCTCACTAGCTTTATTTATCCACTTTCGATCTCAGCAAACAAGTGAACAGGTTAGCTATTTATATAAGTTTAACAAGTTTCAGAGTTTACTTGATTGTGGCTACTAGAGGAATCCAGGTAGTGCGTTTCGCGCTATTTAGGACTCGTCGGCTGGATTTACCTGCACCCCGGTGTATGGCGTTGTTCCGAGTGAGACTTGAACCTCGTACTCATCGCTTCAAACGCCATTGCTTTGTCCACTAGGCCAGTGAGGTAAAATGATCACTTATTGTACAAGGAGCACTGGTTATTACTGTTTGTCGATGTACTTTTAATCCTCCTCTGTTATACAGAACCTCTGTTAGCAACCAAGTAAATTACCACAATAAGCATTCGGGCAATATCGAGACATCCGCATAAGTGCCCATATGCCAACAGAGGTCAAACAGTCCGATCCAGTATAAAAACGGAGAATTATATGTGTATCGACAAACAGTAATAAGTTTCACAATGTTTGGATTTCAATAAACTTAATCAAGTCTTTATGAAATGAACTTGAGCACTATAGTAGAGAATAACTGTATGTCACTTTTTTCGATGCATAACTGATACACTGAGATTCTCCCATATAAGGTAGGACATTTTAAGCCCAATTACGAAAAGTAAGCTGTGTTAAAAAAGTCACCCACTTAATAATACCTCATAAGTGAGTGATATATGCTGAATAAACAGACTGACGTTGATTTATATAAGTTCTATTCAATCAACATTTCAACCGTCGGAATAAAGCACAGTACCACTCTAGTGCAGTGTGTTCTAAATATTAAGTCGGTTTACTTTTATGTAGGTTCTTCCAGTTCGGCATATTATTCGTATAAACCACTTGGTTGTGTTGACACGCGATCCAGTCCGGGTATATTTTAAACCGGCTAATCATATATCTCCCTTCAAATTGATCAAATGTTTTTTTTGGAAGGCAAACAAAGTGTGCTTAAAAACTTCAGTTCTTATCTTCCTTCTCTGTCAGTCTATCAAAATCACTACCTGAAAGCTTTACCAGGCCTAGAATCCGGAATGTTGTCGTTTGGCGTAGATTAATACAATTATGTACCTGCACCAATCAAGATAGCTGAAAAGCGTATCTGCTACAGTGAATAATAGCATACGGAACAGAACAAAACTGTGCGAAGAAACAATCAAAGTGAAAATAATCTATGATTGAGATCGCTTATCTAAAGTCCTCGAGATAAGGGAACAATGCAAAATATGTGGAACATACATGCTACCAAGGTTACATTAACTATTGTCGAGTCAAATTTTGATTCTGTCTTCAGTATAACCACTGAATTAAGAACATCGAGTGTATGTTTCAAGAGATGTCTAAAATAGCCCTACTGGACATTCAGTGTGTTCTCATCAGTATCCAAAGGCAGCTGCAGGTCATATATGCATTGATTGACAGACACTGTAAAGCTCACCGAAGAGCTCGTCAATCAGAGATATTACTGTTAAACTGACTGAGCTACATCTCAGTTGGTTGAATGAACAGGCTCACAGATGTTTTACAGAGTTGCATGAAAGCTGAGTCGTCTAATATAGGGTATGTTTAATAGATAGTGAATTCACAAAATTCAGTACAAAGCTCTTACTAGTGTCGTCAACCAATATGACAGTGACGGTGAACAGTATTAGCGTTGCAGTAGCATTTTTTGAGATACTGACCACTGGACTACTCAATCATAGCAGATTAACGGATTCGTCGTTTTAAAACCATAAAACCTTATTTTAATATCTCTATAAAAATAAGAATGTATACTGTTTGAAATATATAAAGTATAGAGAAGTATCTGAGAGCTGTTAATTGGCCGGAAAGCCTTTTACCATTTGGCGCTAATCAGCCTTTATTGGAAATCATGTTTGAATTGAAAACAGTTGACCCAAAAGTAAAAAAGTAATACATAGTTGAGTAAATTTCAGGGTGGGAGGATCAAACTTCGGGTACCAATAATTAGCCTAGGACTGCTACTACTGGTTTCCTTTAAAACGCCAGACTACCACCATAGGGATTAAAACTTCAACATACTTCGCAGTGATTTAAGCCCCAAAATCCTGCTGGAGAGAAACAAAGCAATAAATAGTCAATCATAATAGCATAGTCCTGAGATCCACAATATCAACCATTATGCTCTGATTCGCCTACCCATCCCTACTACGATCGAATCAATGTCCCACATAAATGTTATATTTATTTAAGAATCTCATGGACTCGACCATTTTGAGAAAATGACCAGATCTGAATTCTAAACACTGGAACTAATTTCGCCTATCAAACAAAGTCTACAGATCTCGACCACCTTTTCATCACAAACGATCTTGTATAAGTTCAGAATGTAACTCGTCGCACCATCCATTTCACAGAGAATGGCATTTCGGTTTTTGAACAAGTTAATCAGTATTCAAAAAGTCTAGCAGTGATTTTAATTTAGTCAACTGAATCAACCATATCACCATGATTCTCTAACTTTTTGCAATTTTTCTTTCCAAATGATTTTTCAATTTCTTGTTATTAGTCAAACGGATACCTTTTCCAGCAGGTTCTAAATTCAAGTTGGCAACTTTTCCAGGTTAACTTTCGGTAATTTACAAGTGGCTGACCTTAAATCCTACTGTAACAAATCCTGAGATAATCAATTACTTAAAGATTACCTTCATGGCGGAAGTACTGAAATCTGACTGGTTATTTCACCAGTTCCTAAGATGGCCTTCAAAGTAACTCTTAATTTAAAGCTATTGGTGATTTGGTTAGTCAGTACTTGTCAGCAGACAATAACCAAGCAATGAAATGTTTTGTAGTAATAGAATTAGACCACATAACCCACAAATAATATATTTAAGTGGGATAAAATATAGCTAGTAGTGTCACTAGGCTTCCCTTAGTTACCATCTGGTCGAAACAGTAGACAGATTAGAGG